TATTCATGTGCAAGCAGAGAAGTGTCAAAGGTTAACGTTACAAGAAAACTCACTTAAATTTATGACGCCATTCTTCATAAGCAGACATCAATGCCACTTTTTAAAATGCTCAACCAGCAAAATATGTAGCTGGGCCAGCACCTGCTCCGACTTGAACGTTATTTTACATGGATAGCTCACGAGCTCCAAACCTGTCACTTCTATCGACTGAGGTTCCGACACATTTGACATCTCTCCTCTTGCATGTAGGAAAGGCTTTCTGTTAACGGTTTTATGCAGCTTTTCATGTTTTGTATTTCGCTTTTGTGGGAATTATTTTAGACGCTGCCAAAAAGTCTCGGTAAGAGAATGTATTCACTTGCTGCTTCGACAAATTTCCCGTACACATTTTTTACACAAAGACAATGGCACAAATTTTACACGGAGAAAGAGAAGGAAAGCGGTTAAGGGAGAAGTTGACGTAAAAAATCACAAGAGAAACCGGCTCCAAGATGATGACGGTCAAATGTGAAATCCAATTCAAGTGAAGATAGAACAAAATTTTATCGAGTAGTTAACACGCAATGAAATGGAAGCAGATTTTGATGTTGGCTTCAACGGTTAAAGAAGGGGACACTCACTAAAAAAGTGTGAAACGAAAATTCTTTCTGCCGAATCGCCAAGTTATAGCTCCAAAGGAATAACTACCAATGGAGGTCATGAAACGATCCCTATCACAGACTGAGGGTGTGCTCCTATTTAGTTACAAAGAAGAAGTGACATTTTAACCAAGCTCTCTGGAGGACATTGCGTTGTCCAAGTATCACCAAAAAACGAACGCATAAAATTGCTAACAGGAAGATGTCCCACAGATTAAGCATAAGAGTCATCAGAAAAGAATAGCAAAGTGTAGTAAATAATGTCGACAAGAAATATTTGCGGCCCTTACCATCTCTCAGCTTTCCAGACCGAGGGATGGGAAGACGAACATTTCTAAATTTATAAAACCCAAAATTTTCAGGCTACTTTGGTACGGCAATTTCTTCAAAGTCTCAAAGATCGACTGTTCACCAAAATAGCAGCAGACTTACCTGTTACTGTATTGCAGCCTTTCTTGTAAAAAGCCGTTGAATGATACCCTTTATGATCGAACGATCTCTTTAAGTCACAGTGGTGGGAAAAAGTGATTGCTTGCAAAACGCGACCCAAGTGCTTGACAGCAGAGCTCATATAAGGACAAAAACCAACTAAAGGGCTTCAGAGCAAAAGTTGTCACCAAAAACTAGCTTAATTTGGTTCTCCTGTAGCAGTTAAATAGGCCGTTTGCCAAAGTAGGGAAACATAGTTGAAAATCAGAGTGTGTGCATGTAAAACTGGTAGCAAATGAGTGACGATAAACTTATTCCTTAAAAAGGAAAACTCACTGTATCGTAGTAATCTTCTACAAGATGCACCTGCCAAAGTGGCCGATTTAAGGGAAGTCCTACTGCAGCTAACTGTCCAACTAGCAATTCAACAGGATCCTTCTCCGCCTCCACCATCCCTTCCTCTTCAGGAGGTTTTTTTTTCGGTGACAGACGCCGTCCATAGCCAAGTCGATTCTGTCCAACCAAATATGCCGGCATGACGTGTTCATCGATGTTGATTGAAGTACATCTGGAACCGAATATTCACTTTTTTGTATTTCATTTATAAAAGGATGGCTATTCGCGGGAAAAAAACGGGGAATAAGCAACATCAAATAGACATTGATGGTCCCGCCTTACGGTCATTTCAGTCGCATTTGTGTGCATTGTGAAAGCAGCTACAGGAA